AAGAGAGGGTGAAGAGGGGAAAAAAATTCAAAACATCTAGTTTTCAAATGGGAGATTTCACCAACAGAGCCACATTTACTGCACACTGATGACTGCAAATAATGATTCTCTCTTAAAGGTTACTAACCAAGGCTTTACGTTATCTTACTAAGGTAAAACAGAGAAAATCTTGGGTAATTTAAATTAAAGTAGGCTCTGTAATACCATTCCACAGATAATTAAAGCAAAGATATTTTGTGCAAAACATACAAAGCCTGGATATTTAAAGTCGCAAAGAGAAGCTTGTATTGCTACAACTGACAAAATGGCTAAAGCTGGTACACCAAAAACTTAACCGAAAAGGAGATTATTTCAAATGATTTTTCATGTTTCCTATTTTTTCCTAGTTTTGAAAGAAACAAAGAAAATACTAGAGAACTTATTAGCAACCTCTTGAACAGAAACTGATTTGTCTGCAGCCCATTTTTAACTTCAAAAGATAATATAACTTTGCAGTGCTTTTAAGTGTTTTCAAACTTAGTCTCCAAGATACAACATAAAAGCCATCCAACTGTTTTAAAGCTTTTATCATGCAAAAGGTATTGAAACAAAACACAGACACATTATGAAGGTCATCAGTCTCTTTTAATGGGGGAACTGTATATTTCAATTTGTTTAGATTAGTACATAACCAACCAACCACCCAACACAGAAACAAGTGTAAAATATATTTGATCTTGATTCAAGAAAAATGGGTCTCCAATTTCAACTGAGGGCAAAGAAGATGTAGTCCATATTTTAATAATCCATATTTATTATAAAAATACAACTTTCAGCAAGTCCATATACATTTAACAAGCTTCTGCCCCACAAGCATATTACTAGAAACCCTAAAAATATGAAGTGAGAACTTCAGTATTTCCCTTAGAGACACCACAAAATTAGAGAAGCTAGGTGTGAAAGTATTAATAAAGAGCTGAAAGCCTTAGGCTTCAATGAAAAAAATCTAGTAATAACTAGTACATCTGGCAGTTAGTCAACACAATTGCAAAAATATCTTTTATTATCGGAGTGAACTGTTGACTATATTGACATAAGAAAACACACAGTTTCAATCATGTATTCATCTTAAATATTGACCTTCAGAACTAGTTCTTTTAATATCTTGTTTCCTGGGAGGCAAGACCCATTTTTAGAATGCTTACTGACACCACTAAAGAACACTTCTGTTAGTCAAACCAGCTGATATGTCTTCAATTTCATTGGTTGCATACCAACTGTATAGTTGACTAACAGGTTTCTGAAATACATGCTAAAGACAAAAAAAAAGTATCTGAGGAAATTATTCATTCTCTAAAAGAAAGAACAACGGTGCATTCACTCCCCCTCTGTATAGAAAAATACTAACAAAACACTTTCTGGATGTCTAACGTATGTATGTTTCAGATCCTGGGCTACAGAGCATCGTTAGATATTTTAACTGATAAAACTTAAAATATTCTGCCATGCCATAAAATACATACTTGTACTTTTGAAAGAAGTTTGGAGCTTCAAAAAGTTTGGACCACTCTGCCTTACTCAGCAAAATTTCATCTGTGATAGCAAGACCTAAATTATAAAAAAACATTTAAACTTTTTTTTTTTAAATAAACCAGTGTAGTACCCAGAGTAAAAACAGCTTATTAACTTAGCAAAGGTTACTACAAATTATTTCCCCCCTTCAAATTCTAAGGAATTTATCAACAAGCTTTACATTCCAGTCATATCTTAAGTGGTCATTAGTTATACAAATTGTATTATTAAAAAGAATCTCAATAAAAATGTTTAGATATGTATGTTAATTGATCACGGATGATTTCATGTACTTTTGCTTTGCAATGTAACACAGCTCAATTTAATCTTTTGTGTATGCTACAGTAACTACTCAGTCCAAAGAAGACAGAGATCTTTTTCCTTGCAGTACTTGAATCATCTTTTGTGCAAGCACTGTACAAGGCAAAGAAACAGTGATACAATAAGCTACTGCTCTGCCTGAGAGAGCTACTAGTAGTTTTAATAAACTACTTTAAAACAACTAGTAGTTGTTATCAAAGCAAGGAGTAGACTTGATGCAGAGAGCATCTTCTCTTATATACTATAATTACCCAAATAAATTACTAGTATAAATCTAGAGGATTCATCTCTGAGCAAGTATATTGTCTTATATTAGGCCCAGAAACAGCCATCAAGTGGAACTACTAATCTTCCATGTGGCATGACCCAAACTAAAGCCAGTAAAATAAACAAAAAATACTGTACCCTTGATTGTCATTTTCAGAACACAACACATTCTAATTAATTACCCTCAGTTTTTAAGAGTGGACAGATCTGCAGAAGTCTCAGCTGAATTTGGACCTTTAAGTCACACAAAAGCATAACACGCCAAGTTCTACCTCCCTCAGAAGAGTATCTCTTAGTGAGAAGCTATTTAACAACCTCCCACCTCCCCCCTCACAAAGCATACCCACAATGGAACCATTTTAAATCCATTTGAAAACATTTATATAGAGAGCAGAAGATAATACTTACCTTGTTTAAATTCCTCAACCATGACCATCCGTGTGGAAACGGACACATTGTAGGTAGAGTTCTGCTGTGGGTATGCTGGTGTAATTATAGGCATAAGATGGTACCTATCACTGGGGTTTACCTACATATAACAACAGCCAATCAGTTTTCTTCAAGAATACATATGAGTTAACAAATTTGGATTTCTCCCTTTACTACAACTGAGTCTTAAGTTCTAAGAGACCTTAGTTTTCAGACCAAGTAAATTTACCAACAGTTCAGAGAAGTTTAGAAAACAAGGATAATGCTTTCACAAAGGACATCATTGTGAACCACAGTGATGTGGGAAGGCTGTAACCTGTCAGCACGTCAAGATCAAGTTGCAGGCATTTCTAAGTCCAGAAATACCAACTGAACAGAACAATTTCTCTCTTTAATAGAAACTGGCTTGTGATCACATCAATGCAAGGATACCTTATCACCACATGAGCACCTTCAGAGGAATGACTGTCTTCAGACTTTGCAAAAAAAATTTTATACTTTATTTCTGTAACACTACTGAATATGAAGAGCCAGCTTAAGACGACAGGCTCTAGGCAACCTGACAGAAGCATCACTTGCGTTAACGTATCTTTTATTAAACAGCACACAGGGAAACAAAAAAGGGACGAAATGCACACACACAAAATACTTTTAAAATAGCATTAGGGTAGCAATCTTGTAGATGGTGAATTGAAGATAAAACCCTGTCATTAACTTATCCCACTTTTAGCTACTACAACACAGACTGTTCCCACACACTGACCTCAAACCTCCTAGCCCAGGAGTAACAGTAAGACTCAAGAACACTTTTTCAACTGTCTCACATTAAATGTGGAATTCTGTCAACCAGAAAAAGAGATCTGAAGTATAAAAGGGTATACAACGCAACCTCTGGTGCTATAAAAGATTAGTTGAACACCAAGTATTCTAAAATTGACAAAACAGCATTGAACAGAATGTCAGCTGTGCCTCTGCTGCAAGCTGTTTTATTGACTGCCTGAAGGACATTAATGTCCAATGTCCTCAAAGTGCGTGCTACAAAGATGGAGACAACATATTATAATATACAAAACAAAGACTTCAAGTTACGATCGTCTTTGGTCCGAGATGAAAAGACACACTACTACAACTGCATGTAACCAAACCTACCTAGCTGCAACTGTTGCACTGAAGTGAATTCAACATACTTGCAATAGTAACAGGTTTTAAGTCAGAAGCGAACCGTTTTAACATAAGCAGTTTTTAAAAAAATGTAGGCGCATATCTAATTACACTAAATATTTATTAAGATGACTTATTGCAAAAGTTGGGAATAAAAAGTACATTGTTCAGCAAGTGTGCTTCAAGCAGTCAGTCTGGAAAATTAAGCTAACTCTGTTCCACACTCAGGAGAACTAGAAGTTACTTATAAAGAAGACATAAGACAAAATAAAGAAGTTTAATAAACCCAAAATGAAGTTCACTTAGATTCTTCAAGCAACTGAATTTATTGAACAGCGTGACTTATAGGGGAAAAAATAATACACTAACCCTTGGGTCCCATACAGGCAAATTAAGATTGCATTCTTCTGGCTGTTTCAATAGCACTGGATTTGGCCATTCCCTGTTCGAAAAGATTGTAGTACTGAATAAGACTATTGGATACAACCACGTATGTTCAACAAACAATACTTTTGAATCTGATCCTTCTTAACTCTGCTCAAGGTAAAGCATCACTTCCTCAAGACTAAGCTGGTCTAACTGGGGTTGTTTAAAATGAGCCACATTGCTGAACTACAATACAGCCGTAATTAGCTTCTCCAGGGCACCAGAACAGTGAATTTCCTGTAGTCTTGGAGCTTTATAATCAGTGGTTTAGGTAACTAAACTCCTCTAAAGTCTTCCTGAAATACACCTATCAAAGAGAAATTCCTCTATGAAGACTGACATCAGGTCCATCTTCAAGCTAGCTGTTTCATGGACAAATTACAGAAGAAACAGCCAGCATGATTACAGCATTACAGTATTAGTAGAAAACATACGTATTAAAAAAAATATTCCAATCAAGACAAAAAGAAACCATGCTGAATGAAACACCAAAAAGAAAAAAGAAAAGTAACATTTCTGTTAAAGTCATCTCTACCCCCATAAGTAGTTATCGTCCTATAAGATGTCAGTTATGCTCTTGGTGTTTGTACATTAATGCTCCTACGGTATGCACACAAAACGGACAGCAGTATAAGGAACACATTAAACAGAGCTTGCAACCAATTTTCCTCTATTAGCTTAGTGTGGCAAGATATTACTAAACACTAGGTACCTCAAAGAGGCTATAAAGCCTATGAGTTCAAGACAGTGAAACTGTGGAAGTTATCTTCACACTAAGAAGGAAAGACACTACACTTGAAGTAAAGCAACAGCTTGGTACAATGATTCTTAAAATCTGACAATGTCTCCTGAAGAATATAGGTATCTAGACATGCTCTTTCAAGAAAAAGACTATTCATTTGCAATCTGCAAAGTACACCTTTGTCCCTTTCATTCCAAACTTACTTGGAATGTTCCCATGGTTCCCATCAGAATTATTTAAACCTTCTTTCTGAAGTAACTAGCTCAGGAGTATGAAACCATACACAATTCCAGAACTCTCACCTCTCCACACTGACAAGTAAAAAAAAAACAAACCACTTTTGCCACTGGTTCCCCTAAATTGCATTTAAGCTATGTGCCTAAACCAGATACTGACATACTTCCTTTTCTTAATTATCTGAATGTTAAAAGACTTTAAACTGAGGTGTCTGCTCTTCTTTTGCACTATGTATTTTATCTGAAGAGTAAAGCTAGGTTACACCAAATACTTAAGAAAACTTTAATTAAAAACTGGGTGTTTTTGTTTTGGATACTTTAAGAACAAGACATGTTGGATGATTTACTGGAAAACTGAAGCTAATAACTTTCTGGAAGCAAGAACAATGCTTAGAACTACCATATGAATCTGGTAACAGCTGAAAATGATACCATAAAAACAGGACTAAAATTTAGTGTCTACAAACAATTTTATTTTAGTGTAATCTAAATTTAAAAAAACAACATACCATTTAGAAAATACCAAGAAAAATTTATGTACAAGAGTTGATGCTATTGCATTTGGATAAAGCTGGCAAGTTCTTGCTACTAGCATAGCCCAGGAAACACCGCCAAGGAAACCTAGTATATTGGAATAGATGTTGTGGCCTGTGGATTGAGAAGGAAAGAGGAAAAAAAAAGGAGACAGTTATCAGTAATCATAAGAGTTAATGAAAGTTTCACAAGTTTTTGAATAAAACTGCTTACGTTTTGCCCACAGTTTGATAGCTCTCAGTGTTAACCTGAAGTTGTCAATGTTTGGTACTAGATGCAGAATTTCATCGGTTACGCGGCAACCTGCCAAAAGAAAGAATCTGTTACGCTTGCTGCATCCAAAGTTTTTTGCTTGCTTACTCTCCCTCACCTTCAGAGCTATCAAACTTTTTAGATCAGCATGCTGGAAACTCATTTTGTATTTTGATCACTTCTGATTAGAAAGCTTAACATACTTTCATTTGATTTCTTTTTTACTGTTTTACTCACTCAGGAAGACAATTCATGCACAGTTACAGTTTTGGACTGCTACCCAATTTCCTTTTATTAATGAACTGTACAAGCTGTTTAAGAAATAAGTTTTAAAGTTCCACTGATATGGGACTACATGCAGTATACCATAGAACGTGCAGACAAATTAAAAAAAGCATAAGTCTTCAGGGACCTACAGAAAATCTGGAAGTTATAGGTCAAAGCTTTGTTTGAATTTATGAGAACAGATAAACAGAAGAGCTTTTAAACGTATGAGTTGTATCATTACTTTGATGTGATACATTCAGGCTTAATAACAACATTATGGATGACAATATTAACTGCCTGGGTTTTTGTTTCTTTGGTTTTTAAATCAAGAATAAGTAGTTGTTCATTGTTACTAAATAGTTGCAAAGAGCTGGCTACAAAAAGTATTATTATCTAAGACCAGGAGCTCCTTTCAAAGCAAGTTAAGAGACAAGTATGAACTCTAGACTGCACAAATGTGAATATCACCAAATAGTGTGAGCTGCTGTGGTATTTTCAAGTTAGCAAGTTTTCAGCTCATAACAGCAATCAGTGATATCTCACATGGTCTTCTTCCCTGCCAAGCTGCGTACAGGCTCAATCCCCTACCACCCCACACGTAAATTACATTCTTTTAAACTGTGGTATTACAGAAAAATTAAAGAGTTATACAAGCTACTAAAGACCTGACCTCAAACTGACAGTATCTATCCCAAATAGATCACTGAAGGAATTTCATCTATGTTTACGCATATTAAAACACATACAAAGTAAAACACATGCACGTGTATATTTATAGAAATAGACTGTGCTCCACAAAAGTCTTGCAAGTCTCATTAATTTCTAGACAGTACAATTTTACCACCCAAGAAAAAGAAATTTACAAAAATCTGGCGAGCAAGAAACAATCCTTCTCTCCAAAAAGATATACATAACTTCCTATGACTTCATAGAGTTGCTATAATTTCAGTCAAGTCTGCAACCAAACTACTGTGTCAAACAATCCAGGATACTGATTAAAAGATCAGACGAGAATTTTATATGCAAAACTGTACATACATACCATTAAGACTTCGTATGCATCTAATGTCTAAATTTTTAAGTAGGCTATCGTCTCGTAGGTCTAAGTCCTCAGGAATAGTTTGCAGTGCTAATCTTGCAAACAAAATATCAATCTTAAAAAGATAAGACATGAGAAAACTGTTATTTTTTTTCTGTAGAACAAATTCTGTAACCCATTTTCAGCAAGTTTACTAATAATAAGAACAGCAGTCTTCCTAGTACAAAGAACCTCTTTAAACAATACATACTAACGCTCTTTATAGACATTAAAAGAAATGCTCGCAGATGCTTCATCTCTCTTATGGCTCCTTTTCCAAGGGGATAAAATACATATTAAGAGATCAATAGTTTTTACGTGTCTGCTGATTCTATTTCAGCTCTCAATGTAAATAGAACTCATTTGGGGACAAGCACCACTTCTAGGTCCAGAATACAGCATTCTACTACATCAGAGAAAGTTGTAAAAACATAATCTAGTTTTAACCTAAACACTCTCAAACTCATCATGGAAAAAGTAGGAGATCTTCCCCATCTAGCATGGTAAAGCACACATGCCAACTAGTTGCCTCTGTTTAGAACCAGCATCTATGATAAGTCTACATATCTGATGGCAGAAAACAAGAAGTTCTGAAAATCCAGCAAACTACTGAGCAAGTGTATAAGTTTGTATAAATTTTGAAATTATGTAAAATTTTTTTGCTATTACTTCTGCAATAAATCATCATAGCTTTCCTAGGTCAAGAACATCTAAGATACCATTCAGCATTGAGCTTGAGCTTTACATCATCCCACACACAGCAAGGACATTACACAGAGTAGAGAAGTCAGTTTGCCTTTCCAGTCTTAGATTAGGCACCAGTCAGTATGATGAGAATGTCAAGTGCATGTCAGTAGCTGGTCTGCTAGGCAACAGCCCCCTTCACCAGATGAGGCTTTTAATCATCATAAACATATCACTGCACCTACAACACGATGAAATACCTAGTGCTATTGCACCAAGAACAAAACCATTTTAGTTGCACTGACGTTTTCAGATAAAACGAAGCTGAAGATATCCGAAAATAAAGAACTTTTCATAGATGCTTAAAACTTTACATCCATCTGTTTTAAACTATGACGAGCTCTCCAAAGAAAAGTTATTTCTATAGTATTCAGTGCACTTTTGATATTAAAGGCTTTAATAGCTGGTTTTAACAACATTCTGTACCGCAAGTAGAATTACTTTCCAGCATAAAACAAGTTCAAAATTAACTTTAGCTTGAAGTTCTATTCTGATCTCAAGAAGGTCTAGAATCTCTAAAGATTCAAAGTTCATTGACAATAAAAGGATTTTTCAAATCAAGATATGAATAGCCTTGGGCAAGGGGATGGGTGGGGCAGAGATGTTTTCTACAGGAAAACCCAAAAAGAGTCTTGTTTATTCTAAGCAAGAACATAAAATACATATGTAAACATTGGTATTGGCAGAAATTTCTGAAGTTTAACTGACAGGATGATAACAAAACTAAAGTCCTTTTCCTCAGTTCTAACATTTTCTTGCAGAGAAAAGAACTTCTGACATCTTGTGCCTGGATTAGGAAAAATAAATCAAAATCTTCCAATACTGACATACTGGGCATGGATGCAACGCAACCATCCGAAATTGAGGCCTATCAACACCTGTATATATCTATAACAGGAGTGCTTTCGGTAAGTTAAGTGTTCAAGACTACAGAACTCTCATGCACTGTCAGCAACATGGGTTAAGTCTCAGTCGTAAACCTAAGCCATCAGAGCCCATCATAAATTACTCTATTGGAGCAAGATATTACTACTCTTACAGAAGACAATTCTTTTATTTCCCTATTTAGGCTTCTATTTTGAATTTCCTTTTTGAAAAAAGGAGAGACAACACTGGCTTGAAAGTAAATTACTGGAAAAAAACATACAAAACCCAGACTAACCAGAGGATGCCTATGGCAAGTTTCAATATTTAGAATGAACACCTAAGCTATGTAAATAGAAAACAGATTCTCCTGAAAAATGTTCCTAATGCCCAACTGTACAGGGACAGCAATAAAATAGCTGACACAGCCACAAAGTCCCAGGCTAGCTTACTGCATGGTATCACATTTCTCTGCACATCTCTCATTCAGAGAAAATACCTCTCTGCCCAAGTGTCAACTGACACAAATGTCAGTGAAAATACACCTAAGTAAAGCTGGATGGACTAGGGCAAAGGGGGTCGTTCATTTTCCTGAGACTCAAAGATTGCAAATACCCCCAACCAATGACCATTATAATTGCAAGGCAAAGATTTAACTCTGACTGGGAGAGAAGTAACTGTCCAGTCTTGCATACAATATTACAGCTCTTCAAATCCTGCCATGTGTCAGAAGATTAGCATGGGAATGCTTTCCCCACTGTGAAGTACCCTTCTTACACCCATGACATAACCCAGCTACAAGTCTGATGAACAGTTCATATGTTTTTGTCCTGTCACCAAGAAAACATGACAGGTTGACTATAAAACAGTCTGAGAAAGATTAAGAGAGTATCTTTTGAAAGCG